GTGTTTAAGTTCGAGGCTCGCTGGGTGTCCCTCGCACCCAGCCCGCTCCTCCAGAGAGAGCAGCCGGGGCTGTTTTCCGCAGAAGAGGAGAAAGGAGGAAGAAGCAGGGTGGAAAAACTGGAGAGTGACTTTGTGTGAAAGGTGCTGCTGTGGCTTCACAGCTGAGAAGATGGCCTGGACTCTTGTAATCAGGAAAAGTAGCTTATATACTTTATTAAGGCTTTAAGGAGTTTGTAACATGCCTCTTAGGAGAGGCTGTTTATTCATCACGGGGGCTTTTTCCAGTTCGTAACCAAGCTTCTCCTTCCATGTTCCATTTAAAATTCCCCTGGAGAAATCCCTTATTTGTCTGTTGATGTAAAGAGCATTTGCATCCTGTCACTTTTCTGTTTCCCCTCTTGGAAAGGCGTTGCAGGATGTTGTGCCAAAACAACTACTGCACCACTGGACCGAGTAAAGATTTTGCTGCAAGCTCATAACCACCATTACAAACACCTAGGTAAGATGGCTGCTGCGCGTCTTAACTTTTGGTTTTAGGTGGCAACATGTAACGGTGCGGGTATGTTGATTTATTCGATGATGCGGCCGATAAGAAGAGGCGCTAATCAGATGAGGTAGGATCTGCCTGGTCGGCCCGTGTGCTGGGTTAAGCATTTGAAAAAGCAAAACAAAGCCAAGCCTAAGTTGTGGTGATGTTGGTAAACGTGGGAGAGTAAATATGTCAGGATAACCCTCGGTAAGGCAAGTAAGAGCTGGGACGGGCCTCCCCGACTGAAGCTGATCGCAGGGTCAGAGCTGGGATCCTCTGTGAATGCTGTCACAGCTGGTAGCTGCTGCTGCAGTCTGGCACAGCCACTGCCCCTTCCCAGGGGCTTTTCAGAACTTGGTGGCCCTCACAGGGGCCAGCAAATACAAGACAGTGGCCACTGAATCCTGCGAGACTCACGTGCACTTAGGCGGTGCGGCTCATGCTTGGAAGGCAGAAGCGGAGCTGTGCTGGTGAGAGGCGTGGGGAGCTGTCTTGGGCACCTGGGTTGCATCATG